GAGAGAGAGAGAGAGAGAGAGAGAGAGAGAGAGAGAGAGAGAGAGAGAGGAAATGAAAGTAACCTTGGATGATTCCATTTTTCTCAGGACTGGGTGTTCCAGATGTTGTCGATTCAGAATAATTACACCATCAGCTCCAAAAGGTATTCTGTCACCTGGCCCCAGGCCTCAGGCCTCAGGATAGGAGACCTGTCTTGGGGAGGGGAGATCCAAAGACTGGGGAAAAAAAAGGGGGCAGGGAATAAAATACTTTATAAATCTTAAAACATTTTATGAATGTCAACTATTACTATTTTTATTCCTCATCTGTGTAATGGGTTGGGGAGGGACCAAGGAGTCATGGATTTGATGATCTCTGAGTCCCTTGCTCTAACATTCTGTAAGAGGATACAGGATTTGGTATTTGAGGGGGGAGGATCTGTGGGCATCTGAAGAGAGTCAGTCTCCTAACTTTGTTTTTTTTCCTCCTTCTCTTCATGTAGTGGTGTTGCCAAAGTCAATATCTTCTTCAAAGAGCTGAATTATAAAACCAACTCAGAGTCTCCCTCTGTTTCGGTGTGTCCCGTCTGGGGTGCTGGACAATGGGATTGGGGGAGGAGCAGCTTGGCAGCTGATTGAAGGGATCTTGGGGGGCTGGAAGGGGATGGGCTTCCAGTGTGGGGCCTAGGGCAGAAGAGGATAACGATAGGTTGGGGTAGAGCAGGGGTGGTATGTGGAAAGGAGAGGGTGGAGAGATGAGAGGGCCCTTGAAGGTCATGGGACAAAGGGGATCCATCTAAGGGAGATTAGGAAAGGGGGATTAGAATTTGGAAAGTGGCATGGCAGCAAGAGGTTGGAAATCCTGTAAGGAAAGGGCTAGAGGTTGGAGGGAGGCACTGAGGATCGGTGGACTGACCTTGGGAACGCAGGAAAAGAGGGACAGAGGTTAGGATCCTGGGAGAGAGGAGCCAAGGATCTCACTTTCCTCATATGTAAACTAGCTGATCTCTAAAGCCCCTTCTAGCCCTAAGAGTCTGAGAATGGGTTGGGGACACCGGAGAGGAAGGGCCAAGGTCCAGGGACCCTGGAAGGAGGAGGATAGGCGTTAGGGACCATGGGGAAGAGGCCATGGGGTTTAGGACACAGCAGAGCTGTGTTTGGAACTGGGGTTGGAGTATATTTTTATAATAGATGAATAAAAATATAAGGAGTCGATATGACTGAATAGAAAGAGCCTTGGATTTGGAGTCAGAGGGCCTGGGTTTGAATTCTGACTTTGCTACTTACAACTAGTATGACCTTAGGCGTGTTACTCCTTTCTAGTCCCCAGTCTCCTCATCTATAAATTGAGGGGATTAGGCCGGATGATTTCTAAGTTCCCTTACAATTTTTTTAATCATTCAGTGAAAATTGTCACCTTGGTCAGCTTCCATGATCTTTGCTCTGAGCTCAGGGAAGTACCTTCCTACCCTGACTTGCTTCATGTCCCTCCCCTTTGCAGATGGTCACCCTGCTGTCCAACCTGGGCAGCCAGTGGAGCCTGTGGTTTGGCTCTTCAGTGCTTTCTGTGGTGGAGATGGTTGAGCTGATTCTTGACTTCCTGGTGATAACTTTTTTCTTGCTGCTCCGAAAGTTCCGGAGCCGCTACTGGGCTCCCAGCCAGACAGTCTAGGCAGGCTGGGCAGTAGCCGTGGACTCGTCACTGCCCTCTTGATTCTCCTGCCACTCAAGTGCCTCCTCAGACGAGCCTGGCCCCAATCCTTCTGCACCAGTCCCACCACCTGCCTGCGCTACCCTGAGGCCCCCATCTGTGAGTTAAGACAGACATCATAGCCAGGACAATAGCCTCGAGGTCCAGTCTTCCTCATTGGTCCTAGACATCCTTGGACCTCAGTTGGTATCCTCCCCTCAATTTCATCAACCAGCTACAATGTTCTCTTCCGTCCATCCTCCATCCCCTTCATTCGTTGAGAAATTTGAGCAAACGGTAGCAGTTTTCTCATAACATTCCATTCTCTGGTGTAACTTTTTCTTTGTGTATCTGTGGGCCTTGGATGGGTACTGGCTTTCAGGATTAAAGACGTTTTAGAGCTTCTCTGAGTAAATTGATTGATTTTGTTTAGGGCTCGAAGACGGAGAAATCTTCCTGCTGGTCAAAGAAGGGTACATATTCAGGGGCTTCAACTTAATCAACACCAACACTGTTGCTCCAGAGACCCAAAGGGTCAGAGGTGGCCCAGAAGATGAATATATAGAGATTGTGGCTTGGAGCCCTGAGAAGCCATATTCTTCTGTCAACCCTTATTTACTGCATTGCATGATAATCCATCAAAATATTAGGAGTTAGCAGTTGGGAGTGAATCCTGAAAAAGTGGAACTCATTTTTAATAGTCATCCAATTCAGAAAACATTTGTTATTTCCCTGCTAACTCCTTCTGCACACTCATCTTTACCCAGCTCAGTCTTACCCCTCAATAGCTCCTTTCTTCTGTTCTCTCCTTCCACTATGGATCTCTGGAAACTGACCACCTCCCCCCTCTATTCCCTTTACCATAGATCTCTTTGTCTTATTTTATAGATGACAGAAAGCGGGAAGGCCTATTTAGTTTGTAATAGAGCCAGGTTTATCTGACTCTAAATCAAGCATTTTTCCTTCCATTCCATATGATACCCCGCCGTGGTTTTGTAATTTGAAATCCCTTTTTCCCACTTCTGATGATAATCTCTTTTCCTTCTATTTCTCCTTGCCTTGCTCCTCCTAAACCTATTCTTTTTTTTTTATTAAATAAATTTGTTTTTCTGTTATTCTGAACTTGACATACATGAAAAGAGTATTTCCACATACAAACGCCAAAAAGATTGTACGTGTGACCGTGAATCTTCATTACATATAGCTTATTTTTGAAAGTGTATGATACATATAGCACAGTAGTTTCAAAGCTGTGTTTCGCTCTGAACTTCCTTCTGCTCTGTGCACTATAGGAAAAAAATGCTTCATTGATAAGGTATCATCCTTTTTTTCCCTTGCTATCATTAATCATTTCTTCTCAGTTCTATTTGTTGTCCTCTATACCCTCCCCAAAAAACCCGACCTCTAATAATCAATAAGCATAATTAAGTAAAACAAATCCAAGCATTGTTCATAACTGAAAGTATAGACGTCATTCTTCAACTTAGCCCATCACCTCCCTGCCAAGAGGTGAAAAGCAGGTTCCATCTTCTGTCTTTTGGAGTTGTGATTGGTCATTGCATTAAAAAGAGTTCTTAAGTTTCTCAGAGGGTAGATAGAAATTGTTCTCCTGGTTCTCACTTCATTCTCCATCAGAGCATACAAGTTGTTCCAGCCTTTTCTGTATCTATCACTTTTACAATTTCTTTTATTATCCTATTTTAAAATGCTATTTAATATTTTAATTAATTAATTAATATTTTATTATCCTATTCCATGCACAGGCCATAGTTTGGTCATTCCATAATTGATGGACAGCCCCTTAGTTTCTGGTTCTCTTCTATCACAAAAAGTGTTGCTATGAATATTTTTCTATATGTGAATCATTTCTTTCAAATCTGGGACATAGGTCTACTAATGGTATTGCTAGGTCAACGGTTTTACACAGTTCAGTTATTTAAGGCATATCATATCAAATTACTTTCCAGAATGGCTTATAACCAATTCACAGCTTCACCCACAATGCAGCTGGCAGCTAGGTGGTGCAGTTGATAGAGCTCTGGGCTTGGAATCAGGAAGACTCATCTTCATGAGTTCAAATCCAGCAACAGACATTTATTAGCTGTGTGACGCTGTTTGTCTTAGTTCCACATCTACAAAATGAGCTGGAGAAGTAAAGGACAAGTCACTCCAGTATCTTTGCCAAGAAAATCCCAAAATGGGGTCACAAAGAACCAAACATATGTGAAACGACTCAATAACAAAATCTCCCACATTTTACCCAACAATCTCATTTTTCTCTTTTGTCATATTTTGTCAGTCCTTTGGATATGAAGCAAAACCTCAGAGTTGTTTTAATTTGTTTTTATCTAATTGTTAGAGATTTGGAGCATTTTAAAAATATGGTTGTTGTAGCTTTTTTTTTTTTCTTTTGAGAACTCCCTGTTCACTATCCTTGGATCATTTATCTGTTTGGAGATGGCTTTTGTTTTTATATATTTGGATCAGTTCTCCATGTATATTGGATAGAAGACCTTTGCTAGAGAAACTTGTTCTAGATCTTCCTCCCCCCTAGATAACTGTTTCTCTTTTCATTTTAACTGTATTGTTTTTGTGCAAAAGATTTTTGATTTTATGTAATCAAAAGTGTCCATCCCATCATCTGTGATCCTTTCGGTCCTTTGGTAATGAACTCTTCTAGCCATAGTTACAACTACAGTTATAACTTCTTTCTTTTTTTTTAATTTAATTTTTTATTTTTTTATCAATTTATTTTTAGTTATCAACAATCACTTCCATACTCTTTTGAGTTTTATATTTTTCTCCCCCTCCCTCCCTAAGATATAACTTCTTTCTTTGCTTCTCTGATGTGACTTTTTATATTTAGGCCTCGTGTCTACTTGGAACTTACTGTGGTATATGACGTGAAATAGTGTTCTAAACCAAACTTCCTTCAGACTGCTTTCCAGTTTTGTTTGTTTGTTTCTTCTTAGCATTTTTTTTTTTTGTCAAATAGCAAGTTTTTCCTCTAGTATTTAGGACCTTTAAGTTTATTGAACCAAAACCTACTGGTTTTTTTTTTTTTTGAGTTTTGTGCTCCCCACCTTGTGACCTAAACTGTCTTACTGATCAACTTTTCTATTTTTGAAATAGCCACAAATCGTTTGATTATTGCTCTACAGTACAGTTTAAGATCTGATACTGCTAGATCCCTCTCCCTTCCTACTTTTGTTTTTTCAGTACTACTACTGAGATTTTTAATCTTTTGTTCTTCCAAAAGAATTTTGTTATTATTATTACTATTATTCTTAACTCTGTAAAGTAGTTTGAACCGTTCGTAATGTGTTTCACTTTCTGAAGCTGCTTCCTCCATCAGGGCTTATCTCTCTGCTTCCATATTTCTGTGTTGTGTTTTTTTTTTTTTTATCATTGAGTTCTTAGAATATCTCCGTTCTCTAATCTAGAGGCATTGGTTCCTACTGGTTCAATCATATGGTGGCATGGCTGATTGGGGCAGGGGTGGTGAGTGTAACACTCCAGGCTCAGCCCCTTCCCTTCTTTGCTGTGGGTGCATGTGTTTACCCTTTCAAGGTACTCTGAAGGCTGGAGTCCACTGGTTGACTGGTCTGATGATTAACTGTTTCTGCTGAAATTCATCTGGTTATTTAAAGCACTGGAAGCTAGGTGGAGCAGTGGAAAGAACGTGGAGTCAGGAAGAACTGAGTTCAAATTTGGCCTCAGACACTTCCTGGCTATGTGACCCTGAACAAGTCAGTTCCTTATCTGTAAAATGAGCTGGAGAAGGAAATGGCAAACAATTCTGGTATCCTTGTCAAGAAAACCTCAAATGTGGTCACGAAGAGTCTGATATGATTGAAAAATGACAAACAGCATTTAAAACACCCAGAAGTAAGGTTAGATTGGTTGGCCAATCAGTCAGCCAATCACTTGTTGACCCAGCTGAAGAAGTTCACATCTTTTTTTTAAAAAAATTAATTAATTTAGTTTTAGTTTTCAACATTCACTTCCACAAGATTTTGAGTTCCAAATTTTCTCTCCATCTTGTCCCTCCCCCCACCCCAAGATGGCATGCATTCTGAATACCCCTTCCCCTAATTTGCCCTCCTTTCTATCTCTCCCCCCCTTGTCTTATCCCCTTCCCCTTCAATTTTCCTGTAGGGCAGGATAGATTTCT